AGAGAAATGAGACTAAAGAGAAAGTAGGGAAGATCCAAAGACCTTGTGTGATAGGTTAAGGTTTATCTTCAAAACTACCAGAAGTCATTTATGAATAATTAATAGTAGCTTTTAGGCATATAGCACTTTTCATCCTCTAAAGGAAAGGCAAGAAAGTAATAGCATAGTGGTAGACAAGGAAAAATAACAAATGGGGGAAATGTTATTTATCTTTAAAATAAAGATCAGATGGATTTGAACAATTTATAGAAGAACTTAGTAGATAGAGTTTAAAGACACAGAAGACCTAACAGATGAAGCAAGGTTCCTAAAAAAGTAGAAGCATAATGGAATCCAGAGTCAAGTTAGAAGTTCTAGCCCCCATGGGGTGCCTGGGTGGCTCAGTGGGTTAAGCCTCTACCTTTGGCTTGGATCACGATCTCAGGGTGCTGGGATCGAGCCCCGCATCGGTATCTCTGCTCAGCAGGGAGCCTGCTTCCCCTTCTATCTCTGCTGCCTCTCTGCCTACTTGTGATCTCTCTCTCTGTCAAATAAATAAATAAAATCTTTAAAAAAAAAAAAAGAAGAAGAAGAAGAAGAAGAAAAAGAAGTAGTTCTAGCTCTAAATGGAAGGGTCACCTCTTCAACAAGACCAGAATTCAAGATGAGTGCAGTTTATAAAGCAAGGGAACAGAAAATGGAGAAAACGCCCACTAGTGGTATATGTTTCTTCTGAGAGTAAGAGAAATGGCTACAGAAAGAATGTTTAAGAGAAAAAAAAATTAAATTGAGAATATATCCTAAGGGTAAAGGAAGAAGACTAGTGACACAAAGAATTTTGGGGTACTGTCAATAGCTCAGCCAATGTTAGCAATCAAAGGGTGATACCACTGCATAAGGCTGTCTAAGTATCTCTAGCAGTGCTCTATATTCTGGCTGTGAGAATGGAGAAAATGGATGGTTGCATTTACTGGGGCTAAGATTTATAAGATAAGTGAAGTAGGAAAAAAAAAAGAGAAAGGAAACTGAAGGTATGTTGAGAAGCGAGGAGGGATCTGACTAATAAGAAAATGATATGGTCAAAGGCCAACCCAAGCAATCCCAGTGAAGATCAAGAGCAGCTACAACTGAAGTGAGGGGTTGCTAAAATAGCAGGTTTTCATCAGAGTGTTAATGGCAGTATCATCACCAGACTCAAAATATCCAAGTCATCTTCAACCATTCCCTCCCCTGCAGCATGCAATCTTATTAAGTCTTACTGATTTTACCTCTTTAGTTCTCCCTTGCTCTCTATTTCTCATGCTACCAGGGCTTCATTATATATCCACTTGAGTCTTAATGGAGCTTTGTAACAGGTCTCCCAATTTCGAGTCTTTCTTCCAGTCCATTTCACCAATTTTTCTGAATGACTATCATGGTCATATTGTTTCAGTTGCTTCCCACCATCTATCAAAGCTCCAAACTCTGCGTGGTCATCAAGATCCTCATCATCTAGTTCTGATTTAACTTTTCATTCTTTTTCTACTATTGTCCTTCATACATCTTAACTGTAAATCAATCTAAACCCCTCAACACTTGTTAGTGGTCTTACGCTCTCTTGCTTTCTGACTCAGGCTTAGAAAGTTCTCTTACCTAGAATTCTCTTGCCCATATCTACCAGCACGATTCCAATTCCACCATTCTTCAAGCCTTGGTTCGAATGCTACTTTGATCCCTTCAACAAATATAATCAACCCCTCCTCTCAATTCCGATAAAACTATGTTTCTCTAGGAGCACTTACCTAATATTATATTTTTGTTATTATTTATGTATCTTAAGTCCTCTATTAACCTGTAAAGACCTATATCTTACTTGTGTTTTTGTATCCTTAGTAACTTGAATAAAACAGTCTTCCCCCCAAAAAATCTACTAAATGAATAAATCTTACATGTATGACCTTCTATGGAAGATCATACTATATTGGATCCTCTAGAACAGAGCTCTTAAATTGGGGTCACTAAACCTGAAGGAGGTTACCAATTCACTTCAGATCTACAACCACCCTGACAATGTTATGTTTATGTACAAATATACATGTATTTGTATATGAATTTTTCTGGGACAAAAGTCCATAACTTTAATCAGATTCTCAAAAAGGTATGTGTTAAGAAATTAATAAAAGTTTTTTGTGTAGTTACTTTAATAATAAGAAAGAGTCCTTACCTTTTAGAAATTCATTCTAAAATATTTATAGCTACAAAAGAAATAGCTGAAATATGACCCAAAATAATTAAAGTGTAGGGTGGGGAGTAATGGATGGAGATATAAATGACACAACGTTGGCTATGATTTGATAAATGTTGAAGCTGAGTAACTGGTACACAGCAATTCACCGTATTATTCACTCAGCCTTTGTGCATGTTGGAAATTTTCCAACATAGAATTTTTTTTTTAAAGAAAAAAAATGCGCCTGGGTGGCTCAATCAGCTAAGTCGGTTAAGTCAAGCATCAAGTTCAGCTCAGGTCATGATCTCAGGGTTATGAGATCCAGCCCCACAACATGCTCCGTGCTCAGCAGTCTGCTTGAGGATTCTCTCCCTCTCCCCATCCCTGAACTTGGGCACATGCACCCTCACACACACTCTTTCTCTCAAATAAATAAATAAATCTTTTAAAAAAAGCAAAGCCTCTAAAAGGTTAAAAACTACAGATTTCATCTAACTTTAGGATTAAATCAGCCTCTAAGGAAGCCTCTGGCTTAGGTCAGTTGCTTCTCAGAGACTAGATCAGAGTCAAACTGGCTTTTTCAAAGTGGAACAAATGAGATGTCATTTGCTATTCACAACAAAAGGAAATTTTCGTTAGAATCAACTAGTTAGGCTGTACAAACAACTAACAGATATCAAAATGGAAAAATATGCAAAGAGTGAAAAAAATCTTACTGTGCTCAACATCGGTTAGGATTCTATTTGTGTACATATTCAAATCCGAGCTTCACATTTTTAGAAAGACATGAATAATTTGGAGAAGATCCACAGGAAAAAAACAAAACTGGTCAAAAGGTCTGAATACTTCCTCATCTTATAAGATGATTTAGAGTGGCAAAAAAAAGAACAAAAGATTACGTAGTAGCAGATTTCAAATATAGGAGCATACAGAAACCTGATTCACCATCTTCACTTATGAGATATCCACAGAAACTAGATTAAATGTTCTCATCTCTCAAAAGGAGCCAGACTGCATGATTATTAAGTTCACTATTAGTTCTAAAATTCTACGATGTCCTGGTTTTTGATAGGTGCATTAGTTAAGAGAAGCTATTATCTCTATTTCTTTCTTTTTAAAAAGATTTTATTTATTTGACAGAGAGAGAGAAAGAGAGATCACAAGATCACAGAGAGGCAGGCAGTGAGAGTGGGGGGAAGCAGGCTCCCTGCTGAACAGAGAGCCCAATGCGGGGCTTGATGCCAGAACCCTAAGATCATAACCTGAACCAAAGGCAGAGAGGCCTACCCACTGAGCCACCCAGGTGCCCCTATTATCTCTATTTCTTTCCTTGTTTAAATACCGATAGCACTAATATTTAGACTAGTAATAACTGAAGTATTTCCTTATTGTGGAGGCATTAGAGAATCAAATCAGAATTTATGAAATGTCCATTTTCCTCCTATGCTCCCCATTCTTACCACCCCCCACCCTACTTATATTACATTAAAATAGTTGAGTTGCAGTCTAGCCTGAAGGCAGGAGAATGAGCAAGATGAATTCTTAAATACCCTTTAGCCCGATGATGTTATGATTGAACTATTTCTCATACACCAAAGATAGAAGGTTATAAGTGTAATGCATCCCTTGCACCTAAGCCCTTTACTGGCCCCCTTCTCAAATGATAAAGTGGGTAATTCTATCTCCATATTAGCTTAATGTTGACCTACTAAGTAACTGATGAAGACCAAAGGCAATCTTCCAAAAATCTGTTTAATATACAGAGTTTAAGTATTAACTCTGTATTTTAGAACCCAAAATTGCATTGGCAGAAGTAACATATCCCAAACAGAAAGGAACATTTGTAACATGGAAGAGGTGAGGAAAAAAAAAGGGATCTAGAACAAAATGTTTTATAATCCTGTCTATATTCTCATAATCTTATTTTCCAGATATGGAAACTGAGGCATTGCCTTGTGGAAAAATCAGCACTAAAATGGAAAAGAAGAATGTGATGAAATAAGGGAATCCTAAAAATTCTATACAATTAGAAAAAAAATTTTTTTTTAAGATTTTATTTATTTATTTGACAGAGCGAGAGATCACAAGTAGGCAGAGAGGCAGACAGAGAAAGAGAGGGAAGCAGGCTCCCCGCTGAGCAGAGAGCTGGATGTGGGGCTTGATCCCAGGACCCTGAGATCATAACCTGAGCCAAAGACAGAGGCTTAATCCACTGAGCCACCCAGGTGCCCCCCCCCACAAATTTCTTAAATAGCATTTCTCTTAAAAAGCCATTTAAATATATACTAATATATTATTAATAGAAATTATCAGAAAGCATTACCACTAAATTTGTATACATATTTTTTACATGGGAGAAGTATTAGATTTGAACCTGAACTTCTCATCATTTTTCTGAGTATAGAACCGCTATGACTAACACTGCCCAAAACTAGGGTTATTAAATTTTTCTATCAATTACTCTGACATCCCCAAAAGTGGTGTTAAAATGTGCAAAAGTGTCCATTCTAAAGTAAAGGCATCCTTCCATTCTTTCATAAAAGATGTAAGCTAAAGAAAAACAGAAAGAAAACCCAACAGCTGAAGACAACATCAGGCTATTTATAAGTCTTCTTCCAGTCCCCCAGACACCCTCACATGGGGGCTATAAACAGCTAACCAAAATATCTTTGAGGCTCTCATATCCACACCCACTGACACAAGTAGAGCTGAACCCACAGTGAAACCAGACTTCAGTTTCCTTTATCAAGTATGTGCCTCCAATAGTAAACTGGAGTAAATGTGACAGTAATAAAACATTAAAAAAAAATCATACCTTTTTCTCCAACAAATGGTAACGACCATGTGAAGACATCCATAAAATTGGGCAACCAGTAAGGATGTGGAGAACAGTTAAACTGTCGAATATTCATCACATTATTTTCATACTTTAATACAGCAGCTGTAAGATAAGTTTGAATGTGAATGTAACAACTTGTCTTTAGCTCCAAAACTCTATAACACATAAAAGCAAAAAAAAAAAAAAAAAAAAAATACTGCTTTTAAAGGGGTGGGGAATCAAGGTGTGAGCTGAATGAGGACTAGTAGAGGGAGACAGGTAGTAATTTTTAGTAATAACACATTTTTGTTTTTAACACTTTTATGTAGAGCATAGTCAGATCTATATTTATTATTAATGGAATTTCCAGATTTCTAAGCTGTTTGCTTTACTTTACAATTCAGTGATGAACATGCACTTTTACTATATCCAAAATTGTGAAAACTCAATTTTTAGAGGAAACACAGAATGGCAATGAGCAATTTTCTAGGTTTAAAAGTTCCTACAAGTTGGAGGAATTTAAGAGGATCTTTTTAGTTACAGGCAACCTGAGAAGCACTGCTGATGGGAATGAAGCAAAAAACAAAAACAAACCCAGAAAAAAAGCAGTTTTTTATGACTGTATGAATGTATTTATTTCATTTAATATGGGAAATCAAGTGAAACTACTACAAAGAAATGTTTTATTTCATTTAGAAAAAATTCCACTGGGGCTGCCTGGGTGGCTCAGTTGATTAAGCAATTGCCTTTGGCTCGGGTCATGATCCCTTAGTCCCGGGACTGAGCCCCACATTGGGCTCCCAGCTCCATGGGGAGTCTGCTTCTCCCTCTGACCTTCTCCCTCTCATTCTCTCTCACACTCTCTCTCTCAAATAAATAAATAAAATCTTAAAAAAAAAATTCCACTAAAATGCCAAAAAGAAAATATTATAACCAAATAACACAAAGGTAACATACTCATCTCAATTTCAAGTATCTTTCTAATGTTTCAATACATTAAAAGAAATAGTATCTTAAATTAACTACAGAGATTTCAGTCACTGGTTATATTATTTTATGGAATACTGGGTTAGATAGGCTAGATTCCAATCTAAGTTGCAACACATACTAGCTTTGCAATGCTTGGTAACTTATTTAACTAATCTGTTTCTCATTTATAAAACAGGACTAATATGTCCACCTTGACTACCTCAGATGTTTGTTATACGATCAAAGGATCTATTTCACATGAAGGTATATAAAAGTATAAAATGCTTTGTAGATATTATAATAATTATGTGGTTACTTTTTTTTTCATTTTAATGAAAAGCACAAAAATGCAGATATTAAATTCCAAGATTTGGGATTCTGGCTAATACAAAGGCACAAGTAATATGCTTGTTTCCCTTATGAAATAAAAGTATTTTAAATTTAGCATCAGAAATTAAGGAATGATACCAAGTTTTAAGCTTTAAAGCAAAATAGAGAATCTAGAAAATTGCCTTCCAGGTGAAATGAAACATTACAAACATATCCATACCATGTAAGCACTCGAATCATTAACACTATATACAGACTTAATCACTACTAAGAGACATTTGATTTTGACAAGACAGATTCAATGGTTTGAGTTTCTTTTCTGAATACTCAGAAAAGTGATTCCCTTAACCCCCTAAATCAAACTAATAGAGGACAACCAATTAGATAATAATCAACTGAGCACTGAACACTAGGTCCTGTAATACTGACAAGGGGAGGTTACAGATGAGGCATTAGAGCACTGGTACAAAGTTAAATGTAGCCCTCTATTCTGTTCTTAAGAATGGGGTCAAAACTTAGATAATTCGCCTCAAAAATGAAGCCATACATCATTAGGTAACTTCTCTAGAAGTTCTGAAATTTATAATTTGAAATTCTGTAATTTAAAAGAATATTTTAGCACTGGCATAATCCTTAAAGGCTGCATTGACAGTTTCTGAAGATAAGCAACTCAGTCAAGGTATAGAGTTTTTTGGGTAATTAACATAGTATTGAGTTTTTGTAACATATTCTGTATCAAAGTTATATAGCATGCTACCATTTGATATCAGGCAAATGTTTTAATCTTTTAACCATCATCTCTAATAATTTAAAAAAAAACCTCTTCTGTTCCTCTTTTGAACTCCATGACCCATATTTAGCAATGACCTCATTATCTCTCTAATACTTTTAAAAGTCTTTAACCTTCTGTTCTTTCCTCCTGGCACATCTGCTCCAGTGACCCTGGAAACTATGGCATAGTCAACTGAATTCCAGACATGTCAAGACAGAATAGGAGATGGCTTCTTAATTTCCTCTTCTGAAAATGTGTACTACATAAACATACCCAAGCTCATCTTCAATTTCCTTGGCACACACTTAACTAAATTAAGATCCTTTGGCATTATCTGTCAATAAGCTGTGTTCAAAGTTAAATGAAACCAAATTATTATAAACAGATCAAATCTGGACAGAAGGAAAGGGAATGGAAACTGGTGGAACAGCAAGTAAAGAAAAAAGATGCAAGAAAAAAGGGAGAAATATATCCGAGAGGTCAGAGTGAACTGATCAAAGATGGTTAAACTATTAATCTTCAGGGGGCAATGATAAGAGGTGAAAGTAGGGAATAAGAAAGGGAAAGAGAACCTAGATCAGTGAACATAAAACAAGAAACATGATAAACTAAATTAACTATACAGTGTAAATACACGAAATGGTCAAAGCAGCAACAGCTTTATGTAAATAAGAAAACATTCTCTTGATTATAAGGGGAAAGATTTAAGAAAGGGGAGTCTGAGAAAATCATGTTTGGTTTCTTGACTTAATTCAGAACAGTTTTTTGTAAGATAGCTTCTATGAGTACCAAGTTGTGGAATGGTTACATATGATTTAAGTTTCACATTTTGGATTTTTATTTCTTGTTTTCTCCCCTCCCTTATATCTTATACTTTTTTATAACAAGATTTGGATAGTTACAGTTTCAAACAATGCCTCTTTTCTATTATTTTTTTTAAAAAGTCAGTTAAAATGCTAAGTTGTTTAACAATTTTTTATCAACAATATCTTACCTTTATTATTGTAGACATCTAAGTAATTAGGTGCCGAAAAAATTGTTATTAATGAAGGGAACCCTGTAGTTTGACTTTTTCTGTACATTCTATAGCTGTAAAACAAATAGCTTAATATGCATCGTAAAGCATCAATCATGAGTTACTAAGTTTGATTTGTACATAAGGTGTTAATTTGGGTCAGGGAAACAGAATTCTTACCCTGCATCTTGAGCTTCATGAGCTCTAATAATCGATAACAAATTATTGTTTTGCAAAAATTCACACACTGCTGGATAGCTGTGGGGGGAAAAAAGTAAATTAAGTAAAATAATGGTTTTCTATATGAAACATATGCTATTTTAACAACTAAAATGTGTTTAATCTTGGATATTTTTCCTTACTTATAAAAATAAGAACATCCTCGAACTGTATTGTGACTAAAATGTTCCTGTGATTTTTCATTTCCAAAATCTTCAGAAGGATCGGACCATAGCAAGTCACACATTGGTCCAAATGCAGGTGGCTCTTTGAATCTATCTAACTGTGAAAGAAAGAAAAGAAAGAAACAAAGAACAGAAATAACTTGTCAAAAAGTGAGAATAGAATGGACACAGGAAAGTGGTACCAACTTTGAATACTGTCCATACTACATTGTTCTGAATGGTTAGAAGATATTTCCTTAAAATATAAGTATATTAATTTTTTTACCATTACCTAATCTTGGCAGTGAAGAGAAGTTTGAAGCTTCTACTGTCTACCCAACAAAGTACTATAAATAGGAATCAACCTTGGAACTGCAATATATACTCACTCTCCTAATATCATCCAGTGTGTGTATTTCTGGTGAAAGTCCACCATGAACACAAAGAAATTGTTGATTTAAAAGTGCAGCAAGAGGCAGGCTATCAAAAGCTTCCATACAAGCTTCATAGACTCTTTCTGAATATTTAATTTTGCCTAGAAAAAGAAAAAATAATTGATAATCACATTACTATTATTTTGAAGATAGATAGATACATAAGTTGACTATTAAAACCAAGGCAAGAAAACTACAGACACAGAAAACAGCCAAGTGGTAGCCAGGGGTTGACAATGAGTATGGGGGTGATTATGAAAAGGGAGCAAGAAGGAATTTATGAGATGATGAAACTTTTCTGTATCATGACTGTGGGGATGGGCATTTTATGCATTTGTCAAAACTGAGAACTCAACACCAGAAAGAGTGAATTTTATTGTATACAATCATTTTTTTAAAAAGGCAAGCATCTTGCCCTATGAGAATCAGTAAAATAGGCAGTATTGGTCTTCCAAGACAAAATATTAGCTGCCTCTAAATTTGGACATGCAGCAGATCATCATAAAATATTACTTAAAATAAATTAAGTCAAATCTCTAAAATCAGCTCAACCCTTTACCTTTACAGGCCAAGTAAGGCTAAATTAGAAGTATACTTAAAGCTTAGTTTTATTACTTTATTTTATTCTAAGAGTCAGTGACTACTTTATTATAGGCAGGACTACTACAACATCACAACAAAACTCAAGGTCCACCCAATTTAAAAAAAAAAGATAATTTATTCATATATTGGAAGACCAGAGGGATTCCTCTAGACTACAATGAATGCTGAAAATGGACAGTAAAGCATGAAACCAAAATAACACCAGAGAGACAAAACTCCACTAAATCCGACTGTCATTTACTTTTAAGAAGATTATCATACACATCCCTTTGCTCCTTTCTATCATTAAAATTCCTGGCTATTTTACGTTTTTGCTGTAATTTTGGTGGGTAGTTTGTTTTATTAATTATCTAAAGAAAAAAGAGCTTAGTTCCTTTTCCCCTTTTGAATACAGTAACATTCAAATATGAGAAAATCTGGGGCGCCTGGGTGGCTCAGTTCATTAAGCGTCTGCCTTCGGCTCAGGTCACGTGGGATCCAGTCCCATACTGGGGCGGGGGGTCTCCGCTCAGTGGGGAGTCTACTTCTCCCTCTCCTTCTGCCCCTCCCCACCTGCTCATGTTCTCTCTCACTCACTCACTCTCAAATAAATAAATAAAATAAAAAATTAAATTAAATTAAAAAAAAAAAAGGCAGAAAAATACGAGAAAAATCTATAAACAGCAACCAGAGGTTCTAAACTGGTAGTCTGTTAACTGTTTTCCAGCACTGGGGTTTAATAAAAATTTTGAATTAATTGCTTTTAGGTCAAGTATGCACTTTCCAGGTCTCATCTTTTATTCATTTATTACTTCATTTTTTACTATTTTATTATTTCATTACTTTGATTGTTGTTATTCATAACCTATTCATTTAGGTTACCCACCTAATCCTGAAGTTATATGACTTTGTGTTCTCTGCCACTACTCACCACTATATTTTTCTCTTTTTACTGGAAGTCTCTAGTAATATGATCTTTACTGGATCATGTTTGAGTCTCTATAATTCTGAAATTATTTCTATTTTTAGAACTTAACTCTAAGAATTATTGTAGTCATGAATATTAACTTAAAAAGCATACAGTTAAGAGGTGTGAAAAAAAGGTCAAATACTGCTCTATATAATTTTCTTGCTTCTGGTTATTAGATTGCCATTGCCACAATAATTTAAGAGAGAAATAGGGTAAACACTATAGGTTAAGAATTTCAATTCATCAATAGCATGTTTGAAACAATCTAAAATGAGGACAGGATGAATAATTTAAGAATCTTCATGGGAGAGCTTCAATATTGGGGGACAAAAATCTCCAATGCAACAACAACTATTTTTTTCCTTTTGGTTTTTATTCTTCCTGTTAGAAAAAAAAAATCACTTAAACATTAAAGCTATATAACCCAAAGCCATTTCTAAATATATTTATAAAACCCTGAAATGAAAACATCTGAATAAAACACCATTAAACACTAAAGAACTCTCTAAACAATAATCTTCAAAGCTTTGTATGTTTGGACACAAAATTCTTAAATGTTATACTGTAAAGTCTTACTAGCCATATCACTCCACAGGAATACTGAGGAAATGAAAATATTTCTCATGACAGTACTCACATTCCTGCTTAAAGGTAAAATATTCAGTAAGGTGCCTGCATTCATGATTGCCTCGCAGAAGAAATAATGTGCTTGGATACAGAATCTTCAGGACCCATAAATATAAGACACACTGCAAAAGAAAATGTTTTGAGTGAATTTATCTTTTATTTTTATTTAACTAAGTTGTTTGATATTTGCTCATTTTCCTCTAACCCTATTGTCCTTACAATCTCTATTACTCTTTACTACCTTTTTCTCTTTGTCCTTTACTAAAATATAAGCTCCATGAAATCGGGGACTTTGTCATCTTATTCACTTCTCACCCTCCACTCCTAGAAAAGTACCTAGCAAACAGCAGAAGAATATCCGTTGAATGAATGACTTAAACTATCTATGTAATTACTTAGATTTATAGATTGTTTGCTATTAAAAACAAAGCAGACTGGTGTCCTTCTTAGGTATACCAATAAATAATAATAATGTCAAAAATAATAGCATTGACCATTTATTGAGTACTTACAATGTATCAAGTGACATGTACTTAATACTCCTCGTTTATTCCTCAAACAACCCTATAAAGTATGTAATATAATCTCTATTTTACAAATAAGGAAACTGAAGCAAAGAGTTCAAGTTATTTGTCTGAAATCACAAAACTTTTAAATAATAAAGACGGGATTCCCACCCTCTGATCTTAAGCATTATGCCATGCAGCCCTCTGAAGGTAATAACCTTGTCTTATGTTATTTTGTTGGTTATGCTTGCTGCCTTACCTGAAGTAGGTACTTATTACCTAAACTGATCCAAATAAATAAGAAGAATATTAAAGCAAACAGTATAGCAGACACTTTTCTCTAAATAACTTTTTATATATTTATATATATGTGTGTGTGTGTGTGTGTGTATATATGTGTGTGTGTATATATATATATATATTTTTTTTTTTAAGATTTATTTTTAAGCAATCTCTACACCCAACACGGGGTTCAAACTCACAACCTCAAGATCAAGAGCCACACTCTCTACCAACTGAGCCAGCCAGGCACCCCTCTAAATAGATTTAACATAGGAAAAGAGGAAATCAGGGCACCTAGGTAACTCAGTCAGTTAAGCATTGGACTCCTGATTTCAGCTCAGATGGAGACCTCAAGGTCATGGGATCGAAGAACTCCAAGTTGGGCTCCATGCCTGGCATGGAGTCTGTTTGGGATTTTGTCTCCCTCTGTCTCTGGCCTTCCCTCCTCCCCCTACTCCTGCTTGTGCTCTCTCAATAAATAAAATCTTAAAAAAAAAAAAAAAAAGGAAAGATATTTCATACAGAAATTGGCCTGGTTTATAGAATTATAAACAAAAAGGAAACAAACTTTATTTTTAACCAGTTAAGGTATATTAAAATGTGTAATTATTCACACCTACATTTTTTTCACAAGGAAAAAAAGAAATTAAGCCAGAAAAATACTAAATTCTACCTCTCTTTTTTGCTTATTTTGATTCTTTATTATTTTCCTTTTCAAAAATAAAATCTATTAAAAGAGTCAGCCACAAAACACTTGCATACAAGGACATAAACACCAATATGCTTAGTTACCAAAAAACTTTCTAAAATTGTTCATTTTTTTGTTTCTGTCAAAGGCCCTTATCTTTTTCACTAAGAAGGGCCATTTTCTGGTTTCCTTGAAGCTTTGAGGAAAGTTTGAGGTATAGTGGTGATAGAACTATGAATAAAGGAAGAAGAACTCAGAGATAACAAAATTCCTTTGGGAATTTGAGCAGACAGAACACTGAACTCCTTTCCTCACCATGAATCCTAGTATACCTGAGAAAGGAGGTTAAAAATACTGGAGAAGATATAAACAATAGGAACCAGCATGGAAATTCACCAGGTAAATATTCAATTATCTACTGGGAAAGGTGGTTAAGAGTACAGGCTTAGGAGGTGCCTAGATGGCTCAGTTGGTTAAATGATTGATTTCTGATTTCAGCTTAGGTCATGATCTCAAGGTCATGAGATGGAGCCCCACATCGGCTGCAAGCTCCCTGTGAAGTGTGCTGGAGATCCTCTCTCTCCATCTCCCTCTGCCCTCTCCCCTGCTTGCTCTCTCTTTAAAAATAAAAATAAAATCTTAAAAAAAAAAAAAAAAAGAGTACAGCCTTAGAATAAGACTAGCTGCACTGCTTACTAACAATGTGTCCTTGGGGAAGCTATTTAACTTCTCCAAGCCTCAGTTTCCTCATCTATAAAATGGATAAAATAACAGTACTTATGTCATAGTGTTGTGAGGATTAATGTGTGTTAAGTGCTTAGGATATACTTGGAACACAGTAAATACTCAACACCACAGAAATATCTATTAGTAGAGCTTTCATCCAGCAATTTTACCTCCAAGAATCTGCCCCACAGAAATAATTCAGCAAGTGTGCAAAAATGTATAAATAATCAGGCTCACTGAAGCATCATTTGCAATGGCAAAAAATTAAGAACACCTTAAGTGTCTAACAAAATTTAACTGTGGTTTGTTTATTCAATAGAATACAATGTGGCTATTAAAAATTCTATAAATTTATATATACTGACCTGGAAAGACATCACAGTATAGGGATATATGAAAAAAGCAAGTTACAGAACAACATTACAATATGGCCACATTTTCATTTAAAAAAAAGAAAAGAGAAATGCATATACTAAAAAATGCAAATAGTTCTACATTTACTTTTTATTTTTTTTATATAATTAGAGAAATAAATGGAGCAAAAAGAACCATGAGCTGTTAAGTAATGATCAACAGGTCATTTTAATGCCTCTTGTTTTTTAAAAGAAATGAATACTTTCACAAACACAAAAGACGTGGGTCTTAATAGCTATAGAAGGTGGAATAGAAGCACTAGGGTTTAAGCAATAAAAGCATTATAGTATGTTTTATTTAATCAGAAAAAATTCAATTAATCTTTTTTCACATGCGGTAATGCCTTTAGGGGCAAGAGAGATAAACAGCACTAGTTCCTCAGGGCCACTAGATTAACAGGACAATAAAGAACCCTCAGTTTACATATAATTTCTGCTGGGAAAAATGGCAATTATAATTGCATAAACAGAGTAATACAAAGAAAATAAAAGAGTTTGAAAGGCAGAAGAAAATAAGTAATAGTTTTACCTAAAAACTTCAGAATAGCAGAGGTATTAAAAAGAACCCAATATAGGTAATTTAAGTAACTTATTTTACTAGGAATTAATGGAAATCATCTACGGTAACACTTAAAAGCAAATCAAATGATAGTATATGATTATTACCTCTATACTAAAATAACCTCTGTCCACATAATCACCAAGAAAAAGGTATCGTGTATTAGCAGGTGATCCTCCTACTTCAAAAAGTTTCATCAGATCAAAAAATTGGCCATGGATGTCACCACACACTGAAACAAGAAGATTATTAGATATGAAAAAAAAACCTCTGAAATAACAAATTTTACTTAAATTCTAATTTCTTTTACATAAGAAATAATGTAAATTCTATCAAGAAAAGGCCTCAGAAGGAAGTGTTAGTATCTATGAAGAGTCCTAATAGGGATGATGTGTACCCAAGTGTTTATGCGCTCAAGATCTAGAACAAGATATAATCAAAATAATGAAATTTGTAGTCAGTGACAGAATTTTCACCTAAATTTATAAAGCTCCTCTTTAAGAAGCCAAGCGTAGGTCTTAGGATTACAAAATTTATAATGGTGGTAGTAAAATCTCCATCCTAATGCAATACTTTCTATTGACTGCTATGTTACACTGAGGTATTTGCCCCTAATAATTGAAAGCAAAATAAATAAGAATTTGTTGAATCAAATTGAATTATGGCCAACACAACTGATGAAACCTTCACAAAAGCGAGTTAGACCAAATTCTGCACCCAGGTTACTTAAGATCATGTTTATTCACTGAAAATAGGCAAAAACCAAAAAAATTACAAAAAATTATCTCTAAATTCAAGATAATGTCCTTGTAATATTATTTTAGTATACCATAGATTAAAAAGTAAACAGCCTTAGATCCGAGCAACTAAATAACAGTATAATTAAAAAAATAATATCCAAAACATAAACAAGTGTACCTGTAATTGGAGCCTCTACTTCTATCATGGTTTTCTCTCTCCGAAGGATGGCAGCACCCTCATTGATAATTCTAAGTGCAATTTCTTCATCTACCCGACCTTCTTTTACTAAGTGGTTCTTCAGAACATCAACCCTGGGTATCCCATCCATATCAAATACTTCTTCAGATGTCAAGCGATGTGTTGGGGGAAAGGGTACAGCTGCAATTTTTTTTTAATTAATAAAAAATAAATCACTGTTAATACAGTAACATAAAAACTATCAATGGATCTAGGTAAATAAAAGTAAAACCTGAAAAGCTGGAGTTTTTATTTCTTCTTTATTTACTGGACAGAGGTGTTAATATTTTTAAGGGTTTTTTTAAAAAGAGTAATCAAATTATACTTTTATTAATCTATGTATAATAACATGTTCTTTGTTGAGAATTATTAGAGAATGAACTGCCTCAAAAATTAAAAGCTCTTTCAGGATAACTAAAGTTTTCTTTAAGCCGTAACATTTTTTGGCAGAACTCGCGTATCATATTACACACTCTTTACCTTAATGAAGTACAATAAATGTAAATTTATTACCACATAAGCCTGAATAGAAAGAAATCCCAAATATAAGGTGAACTACCATGTTTCCTAGAAAGTTAAAAGCAATATTTTCTGGCCAACTTGAAAAGAAACTTTTAGAGCTATAGATAAAAGTCAAATACTTATATAATTTAATTTAGATGCACATATGCATTTAAAACAACATTAATAAATCATGATAATTTTGAAATACTGCTTTTCCTCCTACTCCATGAATCACAAACCACCTACATTCAAAATCTTTATGCACATCTTTGACATCAGGGTATTCCTTATCATTGGAGTCATCTAACATTCTTTTCAAAGGCAAATCTTCACTTCCATTTGTTTGATACACACTTTTTAAATATACATAAAATGCCATCACTGCAAATTTATCCCAAGCCACAGTTCCCATATATATTAATTACCAACTGTACTCTTTCAAACTGATATTTGTTAAATGGAATGGAAAACTGTAAGGTCTATTTTCAATAGTATCTAGCACAATTTTGAGGTCATATACCTAGGAAAAATTACTATATTAAATTTATTAGATTCCTTTTTCACTGACTCCAACAAGTGACTTTATCATACATTCAAAATCAGTTTGAAGCAGTTTTAGGCTCTTTACCAAAGAGTACTTTGTTTTTCAAAATAAAGAAAAAAATAGAGAAATTTATAGTAAAAGTCTATATACAGACTCAAATTAAGGCAGCTCTCTCCTTTCTGAAATAGAAATTGTTTTAGAAAAAACTCACTTTATATTCAGGCATTCAGTATATAGTATTTTCCTGATGTTTCAGAATCATCACTGTAATGGTCAATTATTATATAGAAGACTGCAAATGTATAGGACCAACTGCTTCTTCACATTTCAACTTAAACAACAAAAAAACTAAAAACAGGAGCCTGAGTTAGAATTATATCGATGACTCTGGGGCACCTGGGTGGCTCAGTGGGTTAAGCCTTTGCTTTCGGCTCAGGTCATGATCTCAGGGTCCTGGGGGATCGAGCCCCCAGCTCTCTGCTCAACGGGAAGCCTGCTGCTTCCCCTCTCTACCTGCCTCTCTGCCTACTTGTGATCTCTCTCTGTCAAACGAGTAAATAAAATCTTTACAAAAAAAAAGAATTATATCAATGACCTGAGAAAGAATAATAAATAACTATGTTCTAGTTTACCAGGAAAACAAATTAGGAAGAACTTAATACTTCTTTTTTTTTTTTTTTTTAAAGATTTTATTCATCTACTTGACAGAGACAAGCAGGGGGAGTGGTAGAGGGAGAAGCAGATTTCCCGACCAGCAGGGAGCCTGATGTGGTATTAGATTCCAGGACCCTGGGATCATGACCTGAGCCAAAGGCAGCTGCTTAACGATTGAGCCACCCAGGCACCCCAAGAACTCAATACTTTAGAAGTGGGGCACCTGGGTGGCTCAGTCAGTTAAGCGGCTGCCTTTAGCTCAGGTCATGATCCCAGAGTCCTGGGATCGAGCCCACATTAAGCTCTCTGTTCAGAGAATAGCCTGAAAACCTCTCCCTCTGCCTGCTGCTCCCCCTATTTGTGCTCTCTCTCTGTGTCAAATAAATAAATAAATAAATAATCTTTAAAAAATATTTTAGAAGTGAAATAAGAATTAAGGCAGAAGGATGTCAACCAATTCTAAAAGGCTTTGAAATCACCAATCCCTCTTGCTTTCTTTGACACTTAGTAAATAAAATTTGAACTTCCTTATTCTCTTATTAGAACATATAAATTTCCACTACTTTTCACCACATTTGGAACAAAGCATTAAAATACATTTTGTTCCCCCCAAATATAGTATGTCTACATTCTAATTAAAAAAAAAAAAAGCCCTGGGGATAAAAACATATGTTTATAAAAAATAATAAAAATAAATATAAATAAAATAAAAATAAGAATTAAAAAAAAAACCTCTGTTAAAGTTATTTTTTTTCTCTAGCCAGAGATTAAATAAACCAAATTTGACCCTATCAATAAATCAACTGTTTAAAAACTACAGATTTTAATAACTGATTACTAAAGAAATCACAAGTTACTTTGGGACATTATAAAAATGAAAAGGTTAAATATCTCAAGTATGAATTTTTGAGATTAAGATGGAATCATATTTTTCTCAACAGGCCAAGAGAATTTTTTTATCACTCTATTCAAGAAAACAGATACCGTTTAAGATGATGCATTAAAAATTATGTACACTTTCTAATAACAACATAATTTTACTACTGTCTGACTTTTATTCAAAATATATAACTTCCTAAAAACCCAACTGGGACACCATTCCCCATCCTCTCAACTCAACCAGTCACCAATGTTACTGAATGTTTTCATACAATTTGTGAATGTCCCACTGCAATTCACACTGAGGTGTTGCCACTTTTTAACCAACAACCCGAATGTCTTTATTCACCTGAAAAAAAGTATACGTTGCCTTCATGCTCATGGGTAAATCATCTATAGACCTATGCTTCTCCACTTCTCAACTCAAGGCATGCTTGAGTTTTTTTTCTTTTTAAAATATGTTATTTATCCATCTGAGGGAGACAGCATGAGTGGGGGAGGGGCACAAGGAGAGGGAGCAGCAGACTCCCCACTGAGCAGGAAGCCCAGAGATCATGACCTCAGGAGAAGGCAGAGGGTAAATCGTTCAAACAACTGAGCAACCCAGGCATCCCAAGGCATACTTTTACATTTCAAAACTAGCTGGGATACATTTTAAGGAATGTATACATTGTGGAAGGGTAAAGAACTGCCACCATAAATGAAAGATGAAAACTACAGTAAGATCAGTGTTGTTCTAACAACACAACACTGAAAGTAGAAAATGAAGTTTCTAAATGATGTGGGAAACAGAGGCAGAAGAAAAATTATTGTATTTCCTTACCCACTGACAAGCCCTTAAAACAGGCAGAGAGACATTCTTCTAGGGACACAATTGCTTCCACTTGGAGCTTTGCTAAGGGCAAAGGGCAATCCTAGCCTGACAGGCCCCTATCCCCAACCAGGATCCTATTAAGTCTACTTTAACAATTCCTTTGAAAACTTTATCTCTAAACCCTTTAAGATAGTGTTGATGAACATTCCCAAGCTTCTGTCCCACTGACATGTATCTAAAGGGTCTCACAAAAAGGTTTTATTGCCGGTAATGAATAACCTTTTTCCCAAACAATGGCTAGCCCCTCAAGGTACAAGAAACCTTGCTTCCAAAATTCCTTAGAGACTTCTGCCATCCCTAACCCCCTTTCCAACTTACAAGTATATAATGGACCACTCCTCACAAACCCAGGGCAGCAGCTCTTTCTGCCCACGCGTCCTGTCCCTGTGCTTTAATAAACCACCATTTTGCACCAAAGACATCTCAATAATTCTTTCTTGTCCATCAGCTCCAAACTCTATGTCATTGAACCTCATCTATATTCTAAGACTTCATCATTAAGAGTACATTTTGGTATGTCAGTACATAAGAAAAGTCTTGTGGAAAGATATAAGAGGGAAAAGGGATGTCCTCTCTGGAATTAGGAGAAAGGAGCTGTGGAAGGTGATCTGACCAGGCAAAAGAAAGCCAACCAAATAGGATTTAGCTAATGGAGGTCAATTATTAACCCTGCTGGTCTAGAGAATTAAAAACTTTTTTTTTCGGGCACCCGTGGGGCTGGGTCTGTTCGATGTCTGTCTTTGACAGGTCAGGATCCCAGCGCAGAGTCCTGGAATCGAGTCCCTTATCAGGCTCCCCGCTTAGTGGGGAGTCTGCTTCTCCTTCTCCCTCTGCCTCTGCCCCCTGCTTGTGCTCTCCCTCTCTCAAATATATAAATAAAATCTTTAAAAAAAAAGTTTTTTCATTAAAAATTAATATTCTCAACTATTACTTTGTTTTGTAATTCCTAAGGCATTTTAAAGTATTCCCATCTATTTTCAGGCTTTTAAATGGTTTTTCTTTTTATTTCTAATTCATCTTCAGTCAATTATTCCTGCTTTTCTAGGATTTTCTTCCTGTATATTTTTTTCTCCTTTTCTTTTTTAAAAGATTTTATTTATTTTTACATGCACACATGCATGAGAGGTTGACATGAGGTGAAGGCAGAGGGAGAAGCACACTCCCTGCTGAGCAGGGAGCCCAATGTAAGACTTGATCCCATGACCCTGCGATCATGACCTGAGCGGAAGGTAGACAAAACCAACAGAGCCACCCAGGCGCCCTCTCCTTGTTTTCAGACTACTTTTCCTACTCTTCTATATTTGTGATAGGGAAAAAGGAGAACATAAATATATGTAAATATAATGTAAACAGTCAAAAACTAACGTGGCCTAAAAGAAGGATTAGCTGGAATAAGCTAAAGAGCTACAAGATAATCACAAATCACCAAGTTTCCAACACTAGAAAACTTGATTTAGTAGTATTCATTTTGATATAACTGTTCTGTTGGAAAATTTTGGAATGAAGCGCATATTTGTACAGTAATCAATAACATCCACAAGCTAGTTTCATCCAGATTTAACGTAAAGTGACTTAAAAAAAATGTCTATAGGAAGTTTTAAGTTAGGCAATTGGAAAAATAAGTCAGGGATACATATTGATCAGGGATGGGGGAAGGCCACAGATACTTCTTTTTCTACTACTGGG